AAAAGCAAGTGGGCAACCTGATTTTTACAATCCTGCCTCTGCAAATTACTCTTTGCTTGTTTATTGGCCAAAAGATACCAGGCTACTTTGTCTCTGACAGCCGTGCCTTATGGTGGGAGGAGGCAGCAAGACACACAAGACAAGGCAGGAAGGATTGCTGTGGGACTCTGATTGCAATTAATAAAAACAGTCTGACAGGATGACTGTAATTCTAGGGAGGAAACTACCAGAGGTCTCCAGGTTCAAAAAGTAGGAGAATTGCATCTTCTCTAAACAACTGCATTTTCATGTTCACAGCACAACACATTTCATCTATGTGCACTTGGTGGGTGTGTTAGTGTATTTCAATCCACCCACATGCCAAGCTGCACAGAAATAGCACAAAAGTAAGAGAACATACAGTACTTACATCTCTACTCACAATATACGAGGTAACTGAAATGATCACTCTAAAAGCAGAAAGAATGCAACAAAAAACACCAACAATAAATAGTTTGAAATAGTCCTGTGCTGGGAAGGGAATAGACCAAATAGGGCTCTTCCATCTTCAATCTCTATAAGGACAACGGATCTTGCAATTTATTTTTCTGCTTGTTGGCAAAAGTACACCTCTTGTAAACTTTCAGAGCTTTTAACCCTCAATGTTTCATGACTTCTCTCTGCAAGACTTTCAGTTCTAAGTATCAGTAACAGAAATAGCTCTATCAACAGGCAAACCAAAACATAGTAATTGCAAAGTTGCAATAAAGAGATTTTTAATTATGAGAGAAATCACAACATCTCAAGTACATTTAAAATTCAGCTCAGAAAACGACCAAATTACAGGTAATTAACTGGGGAAATACAGTTTTGTCTCACTTCCAATCAATAGGTGACCATAATCTTCATTTTTATATACATAAATGAGAAACCTGATTTAAAGTAGCATATGAACAAAATCAAACATTAATTTAAAATACGTCTGCAATCAACCAGGCATCTTTTCCAAAAATGGACAGCCAAAATCTGTTCACTTCTTATTATGGAAGATTACTGCAGAGTATTATTCTAGAGCAGTGGTCTTTAAAGTGGGAAGCATGCACCACAGGTTATGCAAGACAATCCATTGGGGTGCAGGAAGAAAATACCAGAACTTGAATAATACATGTATATAATTTATAAATAAATAAATATACATATAATGGGGGTGCATGCTCAAAAGGTTTTTACTGATAGGGATGCATGACCAAAAAAGTTGAGAGGGCACTGCCCTAGAGGATCCTGCCGTGCAATTACTGCTGCCATGTCAAAGGCATCTAATGAAGATGTTGCTGAGATATAAGCTCTCTTTTACATCTCTTCTCAACTATCGGTTATAGAAATGGGTAAAAATTTCTCTAGGAGGCAGATCTGTGAGCTCCTATCTTTTGTTAAGCAACATGGATTCTCACCACCACCACCACCACCACCCCCCAAATTACTCAACTTTTCATTTGTTTTCAGGAAATGCAATTTACTGGTTTCTCATTAATCTCTTCCCTCCATTGTACTTATTGTCAGCACTTGATGAAAGAGCTAATTTTCCTTATGTGGCCAGTTAAACAAGAGCAAAACATGTTATATGTGTCAATCAAGATGGGTAACCTAAGGTATTTACAACTGGGAGTGGATAGGCCCTCTGGAAAACTCCAGGAGAAAAGTTAGTGTTCTTTTTTATCTCGGCTACCTCACTTGTATGAAAAAGTGGCTAGTGAACAGAATCTGGCTCAGTAAGCAGCCCTTATGTTAAAAAAGTAAGCAATGGATTACAATGTGAGAATGCAGAAGAGGAAAATTTTGCTCTTATACAAAACACCATGGTCAGATTTGTTAATCTCTCTTCCAATCTGGAATGAGAAAGATGTAGAATTGGTGACTAAATGGAAATCTTGCGGTGTCTGTAATCATTATGAGGATGTTTGGGCTGCCTGATCTAGAGAAAATGTGAATAAGAGGAGATAAACGAGTAACGACACAGAGAAAATATACCAAGCACCCTTCCTCGGCATAACCTACCAAAACACAGGATGGGTGGTAAAGTTGAAAGGTAATACTCTTAAATTAACAGAAATATTTTTTTGAAATGTAGTGCAATGTATAATTATCCTTTCAAACTCCGTAGAGTAAGAACATCTGCAATTACATGGAGTGAAATTAGGACAATAATTCTGAACGCTTCACAGCATACACCAACCACATCAAGCATCAGCAAGGGGTTAGCTACAGATTCACCCAACAGCAGAATTCACCTACAGCTCTCAGAAGGTTATTCATATCTTCTCTGAAATCATTGGAACTGGCTAACACAAGAATAGGTCTCAGGCACAGCAACAGCTACTTCTTGGTGTGGGAAAAGTTGAAAACCAAAAGCCAGCAGTGTACAAAGTCACAAGTAACACAGAGAAACGTTTTGGATTCACAGGAAGAGGCTGTTTTTTCTTACTTGTTTTTGCTTTGGTACTATATGTACAGATTGCTAGATGCTGCTTTTACTCAAAGGCAAAATCTTTGAGTCTTGAATAACATTTTTCTTGTTATTTGTCCTGTCTAAAGCTAATGGGAGAAACAGCGATGAAATCCTAGTGAATTGCCATTCCTTTTGTTTTGTGAAACTGAATAAATGAAAACCCTGATATCAGAATGTTTCAACATTTTTAGTTCGCACATTTCAGTTTTTCACCATTCAAATCTACCTGTAATATTAGAGCAACATTAAAAAAAAATTCTCATGACTCCTAAAAGCCCCTCCCAATCTTCCTTCACTGAGAATTCTGAGATACTTTTGTTTACTTTTGATTTGGAAGACATCTCAATTGTGAATTCCTCCAGGTAATTAAATTTCCACCTTTAGCACTGCTCTACTATAGCTATCAGAAATAAAGCATCTGAGCGGAAATGTTACATGGTCACCCTTCTCAGCTTTAGAAAGCTATTGTTGGAGGCTGGATTGGAAGACTGAATGAAGATTGCATTCTTGGCTACACCACAAAAACATAATGAAACAGTGCTGTCTGACATAGCTCCTGTTCTACACATGGTACACATTTCAGGCTCAATCTGTCTGCCCAAAAATAGGTACCAAAAAAGTTAAGATGTTCTAGATGATACCCACAGGGCTGGCAAGCATGGCACAGGACAAGCAGGAGAGCCCTGCCCTTCTGGAGAGGCAGCTGGAGGCTAGGCATGGTGGTTTAGCACTTTAAAGATGGCATTACACACCTATGCCTTGGCACCTGTGTTGAGCCCTTTCAGTTTTTAATTTTGTAACGCGTATATGTATCAGTAAGGAAAGAAAAAAAAAGTAAAAAAATGTAGCTGTGCGATACATGGTTGATATTTTTTTACAATTTGCAGGTATATTCCTGAAGGACATTGGTGTTCATTCTGCCAGTTTGACTAATCCCGTCACTTGGTTTTTCAAAGTTTCAGGTTATATTTTCAGTTGTCAAATTCAAGAAGTTCAAGGGCTCAGGTTCCCTCTTTACTCCTACATTCTTTTAGTTTACGGTCAGCTAACACAAAGCCACAAATCATATACTTGTCAGTTTATTTCTACATACCCTTTTTTTCAGGGTTTCTTAAGAAATTGCCAGCTGGCTGATCACAAAATGATGTACGCTTTTGAACAAGCCACTGGCCAGATTCAAACTCTAACAGAGCTGATGAGCACAACAGACCTTGGTGCTTCCACAGTTACAGCTGATATGTCTTTTCTTTCCAGCTGAATGCCACTATTTGACACTACACTCCATGATGAGTAGAGACACAGGTGTAATATTTTTTACTCACGATGACTCTCACAACCTACTAAAAATCCTGATTTCTTTCATGAGCAAATTTCACTCTGAAATTACAAAGCCATGATTTGGTGTCTTTAAAGGAAGACCCAACTTAAGCACTAAATATGTGGCAAAACAAAGTAAATGCAGATTTTTATTTTAAAATTTGAAATATTCTTTACGGCCTTCATGACTGCTTCACCTACGTTCCTCTTCCATACACTAGTTTGCAAACTTCCAATACAATTCATCCAGCAGACATAGTAAACAAGATGCATGTTATTGAATTTCAAATTTTTTAAAGCTATTCAGAGATATAGCTGCAGGTAAACTTAATTGCTGCAATTTTTTTTAGCCAATTGTTACAAAAAATTGTTAGCAAGTATCTCTCTTTAAATGAACCATATAGTAAATGTCACTGGAGTGTGAGTTTGCTTTCAGAATTAACGTTGTTTAAGTGAAAATTTTATTTACAAATACAAGTAGTTAGTAATTACTTGTGGGTCTGCATATTGCAAAAATTAATTTTCATCTCTTCATAAGAAAAACATTAAAATTTCAGCAACAGACTTCCCAAGAAAACTGTTGATCTTAAAAATTATTTTTTTGTATGATGACGACATTCACTGTACTATCCATTGGCTTTTTGAGGATCCTTACCCAAAGGGTAAGGCTTTAAGGATGCTTCCTCGCTTCCGTTTAACACTAGATAATGGTGCATGGCAAATGACTGGAAGCATTTGACAAATGCAAACAAACCAAGGGTCAGTTAATTATATGGCAAATAATAAATATATGGAAAAAATGCCCAAATTTTGTTACAAACAGTGAAAATATATATTTGAATTGTCCAGATTTTAATACCATAAAGATGATGCATCATATAACTGATGGAATATCAAATGTTGGTAAATAATAAACTGAACTGAATTGTCTTAATTGTACTTAATGACAACTACAATTTTTATTTTTTAAATTAAAATGGCAAATTCAATTTGGAGTTATACAGACAAATTTTACTGCTATCAATAGATTGCATTTATCCAAAGGCAGAATTTAACTGAAAATGTTTCCAAATACAATGGAAAGTCAATTCAAAGGTTTTGTCTATCTAGATTGCTTTACTGTTATGTTGTATATCTACAAAAACCAGAACATTGTACACAGAAAAGCGTAAGTTTTTAGAAATTTAAAATTACTTACAAGCTGCTCAGACTTTACACCATAGAGCTGAATGGTCTTTGCCACATTTTTTGCCACAGCTAAACTCAGGTCTGGATCAACAGCAGCCACATTTAGCTCACTGGAAGCAAAGATTACAAATCTTAATTAACAACTAAACAGGGCTGTATTTAATTGATAAAGAATTAACTATGAATATGTAGTTACGTGGCATGTCAATTTAGAGAGAGTAACACATACAACCGAGTCTTTCTAAGCACTGTAATTCGGTTTACAGTTTAACAAGTCATTTGGGAATTTTATGTGCAGTGTTCCCATTCTAGTCAAAATGAGCAAAGTTTAGGAATGACACTTCAGTATGAAATCACTATTAGTAAGCCATTCAAAAATATTGACTGCAATTAACTACATTCAAGCTTTGGCAGCAGCCTTCAAACATTACAGGTGAATACACAGTCATTCAACTCTGGAATTACACGAGCTGTGAAGAAATACCCAGGGGATGCCTTAGCTTGACACAACTAATAAGCTGTGTTTTAGGCAATCCTTTATAGTAACAGAGGCCCCAGGGGAATAACAGCGAACAAACAGAAGAAAGAAAAGACTTCTAAATCACTTCCAGTGTTTCTTGTTCATGGACACCCCCCCCGCAGATCTCCATCATTTGGGGCTGCATTCATAAATGCTCTACTGAAAACAGACAAGCAGAAGGACCATCATATTGCTAGTGATGAGGTTAACCTCTCCCAAGAACTGGAGAGACACTAGGCACCCTGACGTAGGAATAGCCTTCACCATGAACTCTGCAGGGCTCCAAACATCATCAGTTAAAGGTAACTCTGGAAAATCCAGCTGAAATTTCATAATTTTCATGTCGTTTTCCCTTCTCCTTTACAGGAAGCAAAATAACATCAATAACCACACCAATCGGCACGTTCTGAGCATCTGCAACTCCCAGCCACAAGTAGTGTCAATATTTAATATTACACACTCACACACACATACTGTGAATACTGCCCAGCATTTTCAGACTGTGTTAAACAGTCTTACCAAAATCTTATGAGGGAAAATACACCATTCTCTTACTGTTCAACAGAATATTTACATCAGGTATTGTCACTTGCAACCAAGCAACTATCATCATCCCTTTGACACAGAATAATTAAGATATCAGACATTTACAATATATGTGAAGCTTCTCCTTCTGATGTTTTATAAGCTTAAATATTAAAACATAAATTTTCAGTTATTCCAGAAAAAATAAATAATAAATTTTGTAAAAAATTATATATAATAATAAAGAGGCAATTATCCTGCTGCATTCAGTGTTGGTGCAGCCCCACCTTGAATACTGTGTGCAGTTCTGGGCCCCACAATTTAAGAAGGATGTTAAGTTACTCAAATGTGGCCAGAGGAGGCTGGAACGCATGCCCTGTGAGGAGCAGCTGAGGACTTTGGGTTTGTCTAGTTTGGGGAAAAGGAGGCTGAGGGGCAACCTCATTGCTCGCTGCAGCTTCCAGAAGAGGGGATGTGGGGAGGGAGGTGCTGATCTCTTCTCCCTGGGATCCAGTTATAGGACGCCTGGGAATGGCTCAAAGCTGCTTCAGGGGAGGTTTAGACTGGACATGAGGAAGCATTTCTTTCCTGAGAGGGTGGTCAAACCCTAGAACAGACTTCCTAGAGAGGTGGCCGATGTCACAAGCCTGTCAGTGTTTAAGAGGCATTTGGACAATGCCCTTAATAATGTGCTTCAGGTTTTGGTCAGCCCTGAAGTGGTCAGGCAGTTGGACTAGATGATTGTTGTAGGTCCCTTCCAACTGAAATATAATATTCTATTATACTCTACTCTAAATCCTGACTTAATTTTTACACTAACCATTTTTATAACTAAAGAGCAATGAACCTTTTACTGCTAAGGATGTCTCATTTCTAAATTGTAACTTATGAGAAAAAACACGTTGAAGATTACATTTTGCAATGTGCTATACCTGGCTATAGTTTTAATGATGCTGTCAAGCTCATCAGAAGAAGGAGGATTCCGACCTCCAGGAGGGAAGACAAGATTGATGGGGTCAAAGAGTCGAGATAAGGATTTTGATAAATAAGCAGCTTCATATTGTTGCAGTGAATCTTTCAAGGCCTTTTCTGGACTGTGGGTATAAGAAAAAATTAATGCATTTTAAATTAAAATAGCACTCAATCTTTCCAGACCACACAAACTTTGCAGTATTGAACCTGTTTTTTCTTTCTGCTCTTTAAACATATGCACTTGAAAAGATTTTAGTAGTGTATAACACCTTTTTTTTCACTTGAACCATGTAACTAGTCCGGGAGCCATTCTGTGTAGTTCAATACAGTTCTTAGCACTTTCTGTAAGACCTATGTGGAATCCCTTATTCAAGGTTTTCTTGAGACAAGCAGTGCTAAAAACATTGCAAAATATCAGCAAGATATCCAGAACTGCAATGAAAGACCTTTTTATATTCACATATTTGATTAGCAGATTGCTTGTACTCGATATATTAAAAAAAAATGTACCTCCTGGTATACATACACACACAGAAAGCTTCAAATAGAAAGAACCTTCTTAAATTTACCTTTAATAACCTTCAGTCTTTAGTATTTCTATTTGTGAAAATGAGTAAGCAGTAGCACTCTCAAACATTTTACCTCATTGTCAGAAGTTTGGTGAACTCTTCACTTTGCTTCCACCGAAGTTAATGATAAGTCTCCCACTGACTGCTCAGGAACTTATTTAAACCAATACAAATCTCACATAAAATATCCATTTTATCTTACATAAGTCTAGAAGTCCTAATAGACTTGATGAGCCTGTTCCAGTTTGACCTTTCTGATATCTACCACTTGGATCATGTTTATTCTACGATGTATAAACATAAAGACTGTGAATCATAACAAACCAAGCATTTGTCACATTCCAATGATTGCAGTATCGTTAAGAGAAAGCTACTGCTGTAATTGCAACACGTACAAAACTGAATTTTCATCATTCTGCTTTTTTTCTCACCCAAAGAGACAAAAAGATAAAACTAGTTCCAAAGTCAGGGACTTTGTGAAAGGCAGGACAATTCAGCACTGTTACCTATATAACCTAATGAAAATCCTACAGCTCTAAAATAGTATTAAAGCAGTAACTGCAAGAGGAAAAAAAAGCCTTTAAAATTTTCTCATTCTGACAATTTGAATAACACTAAGTTCTTAAAAATATTCTGCTTCCTTGCAGGGTGCAAAGCTTTACATTTTATTGCCTTACAGTTCATAATACATACTCATAATCTTGGTTTTTTTGCATGAATATGTCCTGTGTATCTTCTTCCATTTGTTGTAGTTCAGCAAAGAGATCAGTAGTTCCACTTATGTTAAAATTCCTCTGAATATTTTGACTATATTGCTGCAGACGCTTCCACAAGTCGTTATAAAGCCTCAGTAGTTTAGGGTATTCTCCTTCAAAAGCTTGTTTCAAAAACATAGAGGCTGCAAAATAAAGCAGTAAGAAATACACATTGCTAAGCTCATACTAGTTTTTTGATTCATATAAACAACCTGAATCCTTGTATTTATATCCATGAATGATCTACAATGTTATCCTATCTTTAGTATTAATAATGTAATATTTATAATTAATTTGAAAGTGGCATGAGCTATCACATTAAATGTTGACAAAGGTATGTATCCAAAGCACCAGCATAAAATCCATAATTGGAAGACCAGACATGAAAAATTATTTTGTGCAATAAAGATATTAATCATGGTTGTGAAATGTTTGGTATCAAACTTTATTACTATTATCATTCATTTAAGTCCAAAGTGTGATTAGAACTCTCTAAATCTAGAGACTTTCTAACAATAGCTTGATGGGGGAAAAGTGGGGTCTGTGCAACTTTGAAGATACCCGTTTAAAACAAAGATAACTTCTATGAGCCAAAGTCTTAAGAAATCTGATGAGGGGAGCATATGCTTTTACACATACTTCTTAAAACAAGGTACCTAAAATGCAATTCCTAAACTTGTCAAATAAAGAATGTCAAAGCCAGCGGAAAAATCAGCATTATTTTCAGCCTTGAAAAGCTTGCGACAAGTAACAGGAAATGAAACAAATGTAGAACTGTTTTAGCAACTGATGTTAATCTCGATCTAACATCACTCATACTTTATGGATTTCCCATTACATTAGGAGATTAACATTGTTCCATTCATTCGTGGGTTTTCAGGTTCCAGACATCTGCCCCATTTCACCCAGCCTTTCAACTCAAATATATTCTAATTTTGAATACTGGAGGATTCACATTTATTATCAAACACAGAGTTATTTTAGGTCATGAAGCTATGTTTATAAAGACTGTCTCAGCCTTACAAAAGCAGATCATGATCCATTATCAAACTCTGTAAACTGCCATGAATTCCTGTTCTTACACTATTTTCTGATATTGTCCAGTCTTCCTCTGATCTATATGATCCAGAGGTCTGTGACTGATGTCAGTGAATTCAATCACTTAGAATTTATGTTAAAAATGAACGTTCTCATATAGAAGTGTCACTTAAATGAAAAAGTCTACTTGCTGTAAGCATTGTTTCCCCAAAACTCAGCTGTAGCAAAACACCATTCACAGTTCAAAAATCCAACCACTCCCTCTAAACATGTACGTAGAAAACATGATTAAAAATTGTAAGTAATAAAATATTTTTGAGTAGCAGTCAGACAAAGCACTGCTGACAAAATGTAAGAGTTCCCTTACTTCTGAAATGTTGATTGATCCCATTAACCGATGTCTCAATTTTACAGTCTTAAAACCAAGCGCTGAAAACAGGTAGCACATGTTCAGTTTAAACATATGAGATTCTGGGTATGTACATATTGCTGTTGAAGTAATGTGTAAGGCAAACAGTAAAATTAGTATGTTTTTACACAAGATTAACAAATTTTCTTTTGGGATCATGTAGTTACTTAGCAACCACTGAACATGAATCAACGAGCTAGTTCCTCAAAATTATATTGCTGCTATCAAGCCTGGAAGGACCAAATTTTGAAGGGCCAATGCAATAGCTGAGATCACCAAGATAAACGCAAATCTTATGCACTTTATCTGTATGTGCAAAAGATTAACTTTACACACTATATACAAACATGGAAGATATATTTATGAAAGCACCAAGCTCACCTGTGATCCCATTGCATGCTGCATTAGCATGTACTGGTAATATTACTGTCTTATGTTTACACATGGTTTTTATTTAGTACTCCTTGATTGTATCTGCCATTCACGTATTACATATGTACCGAACATTGTGTATGGTCAGAACACCAGCCATTTATCTATATTTACACAAGACACAATTTTGAAGAAACTCAACTCCTATTTATAAAGATATCAAAAAATGGCTAAAATCAGATTTTTTGCAACTTATCAGTGTTTAACAAGAAAAGAAGAACTGCTCTTTAAAATCAAATCACTATTTTTGAATTTGGCAAGCCCATTCACTTTGGGAAGTATAATGTACCATTCCAAACATTTTTACCTCCACATACAGTTGCAAAAACACGTTTTTGTTATTAGATAATGACTACTTAATGAAGCAGAAAATATTTCTTTCTGAAAATTCAACCATAGCTTAGGAAGGTCACCCTGTTTGGTTACAAACCCAAGAGGCTTTAAACTCACAGACCCCGCACTGAGTGAACCACTGCTAGAGTTCTTGTAGAGGAGATAATGAGCAAAGGGCTTATTGAAATGAGAGATTCAAAATAACCATAGAACACATTACAAATACATAGAACACATTATACTGAATACTTACAGTCTGTTGCTGACTGAAACTGGGAGGAGAGTGTCTGAGTTACTGCAGTCCAAAATTTGTACAAAATATCAGCCTGGCCATCCTGATAGCAAGGGACAAAAGAAATACAAGATTCAAAACATGCTCTTTTCAAAGAATCTTAAACAACACAAATGCTCCCAGTCAAAGCTGTTCTACCATCACTGAGAATAAAAACTAAGTAAATGAAGTCTGAGAAGTTTTCCTCAAGTTTAAAGCTAGAAAAAATATTGGAGAAAACATAAATAAAAGTTTCAGTCTTCTCTTAAATGGAATACTTTCCTTCAAGTCTGAGAGAAATGCTCCCAGCTCCCTAGGGGCATGAGTGTAGACTGAAGCAGTACACCTCAGGAGCTGTGTTAGAAAAATCTCTTTGCATTGCAGTGATCTTCTCATTCCCTGGGGGTTCTCATGCTAACTACATCACAGCAATTACAGTTACTGCCATTACAACGTGCTTGCAAACACCAACCAGGGACCAAAACCAGTGCATGCTGCTCTGCTTCACATGGAACAGTTTCCTGTCTCTAAAAACATAAAACCTATGAAAATACAGTGAACTTTGCAGTTGACTCTTCACCACCTTGTGTCAACAGGGCTTGCTGCAAGATGTGGAAACCAGATTGCATATTCTTGCAGAAAGGACTTATGAGAAATGGCAGGCTGTTCCCTTACTCCCCCCAACATCTTGCACATATGCTCAAGCATTAAAGTGAAGGGAGGCTACAGGGTTAACAAAATGACCTTTGTGAAGCCAACTGTAGATCCATCTTAAATTGCTAGCATTGTGTTTCAGATTAACTTACTAATCATATGAAGTAAACTATAGATAAGAAACTAACACTGTAGGGAATGTGGAAGAGGAGAGATTAGTAGGAAATGGCCCATCTTTGTTACAGGCCTTGGAAGGCATGTAGGAGAACAAAGCGTCTGGCACTTTGTCGATATGAGGATGGCCAAGGATGGGGAGCCGGTTGGTACCGGCTGTGTTGTTCTGACAGTGGAATAAGGGGGGTAGAAGCTGGAGTTCACCAAAAGGACAAGGTGAAGAAGAGGAGTGGATGAAGTAAACGACCCCTGAAGATCACCGACTCAAATCACTGAGCACAAGCAGTCGGGAGGGACTTATGGAAATGACCTCTTGAAACTAATTTTAATATGAAGCGGGGACAGATTATGCCTATGTATAGGCGTATTGGGAAACTTCATGTATATGTAACACTTTGCTATGTATAAACGGGGCAAGCTGCCGTGTTGCGGTGCGCACGACTTTGGTGGGACTACCCCCCATGCTGCCCAGCGCTGAATAAACATACCTACTGTACAGTCTTACAGATTGGGGAGTCTGTTTTCTGCACATCAAAAGCATGATCTTGTTTTCTCTCTTTTGCTTTCTTCCTGTCTGTGTGTTTGAGGTAGAAAAAATTACAGCAGATGACAATGGGTATCCTGCCCTGCCCACTAGTTAGGTACTTGGAAGGCTGTTCAGTGTTTTTATGGGAAGGGGAAGCTCACTCTGGATAGAAGAGTTTTCTTCATTACATGGTATACAGGTTATGTATTGACCCTATTGTGTATAAATTAACCAGACTGACCAAATCACTATAGTAATGATAATCAGCAAAAAGTGCTCAGAATGAAAAAGTGAAACAGCCAACAGTGATGACAAATGTCAGCAGTTCTAAGGATCTTATGCTGGCATTTCGTTGTTTCTATCCCAACTCACTCTGAAACATCCAAGGTTTTAAATCAAAGCACAGTGTTCACAGCTAAAGAGGGGTTTAAACAAAGGGCTCAACACTGAAATCACTGTCAAAGATGGACACATTTTCTCAGCTTTCCTTTTGGCACTGCCAGTGACTTTACTATGAGAAAAATGAAAAAAAAAACCCAAACCAAAACCCAATCAAACAACCTTAGCGCTTGTTAACAACCCTTTTGAAGTGTCAGTTCAATTTATGCGCTGCCCAGCACCACAAAAAGGAGATCAGTTGTCAAATATAAAAGTCCAGCTACTCCAAACCGAAGTACTACTTAAAATGACAAAAGAAGACAGAATGCACTCTATTCACTTGCATTGGCAGTAACATGCAAAGCAATGAAGGTGTTGAGAATGTCACCCAGTAACAGGGTACCACTGCATTCCCCTTGAAGTTCTGGTCATTGAAAGACTGCAAGTTCAAGCTCAAGTTTCAGTTCCAAAAATACCATCTTAAAGAACTGAGATAAAACCTGAAAAATCAGTCAAAGGTACACTGAGATGTCTAAAAATTAAAGGTAATAATTAAAAAAGAATTATCAGATAGAATGGTTTCACAAATTCTGAGATCAGATTAGGAATTTATCCAACCTTATCCCTTATCTCTAAAGATATTCAAAGAAACACAAAACTTATGGGCCATGTATTAAGCACAGAGAGAGAACATCTTTTATGCTGTTGGTCTCATACTTGTAAAATGTATGAGAATTAACCTAGAATACTAAAGTAAACTGGGATGATGGCATCTCATTTTTGACTGCCTGAGGACACCGATGGATTTAGAAACTGAAGTAACTTATTTTATAGCTATGCTTGTATTTTCTGTAAAATTTTACTTGATTTTCATAAATGGGCAAAGTAAAATTATAATATTAGACAATAATTCAGAAGGTGCACTGCATAAAATATCTTTTGGTTTTTGGTAAATTTATTATATAGCGTAAACATGAAATTACTCAGTTCCTCATTTCACAGTTTCATATTTAAAACATAAAAATTAATACAAAAAAATGGCCTTTCACGTCAACGATAAGGTAAATTAATTAGCTTTCATATTCTCTATGCCAACCTGGAACAAGGTTTGCCTATTCAGCATGGTAACTCAGTTCAATTTCTAAATAATCTAATGGAGGTGGAAAAATACAGAGCACTTTCAAACAACTTTTTTTTTTTACCACTGTAATCACCAACTACACCTCTGTAGTAGCCTCGGCAGAAAATGCAATTATTAAAGGGTCTTGTAAACAAACTTGCGTCTAGTCCCTCCGTATCGACATTTCTATCTTAATGTCAGATTCAACATGGTGACAAATAACAAAAACATATACGTGATGACATTTAATGTTTCTGTGGAAATACTTAACTTTTTTATGCACCTATATATACACATATATAATATAAAGTCAGAAATATATACCTATGTACTCATGTAAACATTGGCATAGTAGCCACAGCTGTACCAACTAAGCCTCTGCCCGTTAGCTTGTGTCTTTTAACCTGGGCAAATGGTGTCCATTAGCTGTATCAGAATTTTGTAGTGAAGGAGGCCCTCACATCATGGCTTACCCACTGCATTATTAATGCCACAGTTTTGGACGAACTAAACCCACTATCTACTGGTTGCTCTCGTAATGTAAAATATGGTAGTTCACTTTGTCCAGTGTTGAGATGCAGTCTCTCTGGAGGTGAAATATAGCTGCTGATCACTAGCACACAAAAGACCATGTAAGAATTTGTGGCAGGAACTAGAGAATACTGTTGCCTACGCATACACCAGGGGGTATTTAAGTGGGTGGACTGTAGCTACCAAAATTGGAATACAGCAAGGCATTAGCATTCGATACTCCTGCTGGAGTAAAAAGTGTCATATGCAACTGTAAGCATCCAGAAGCCATTTATTTATTTTGTTTAAACCTGTAATTTCTTTTACTTACACATTAACTCAATATATTATTTTTAAGTACTTTTAAGTATCTCACTGCTTATTTTTAAATAATGGATTCTAATAGAGATTACAACTGTGCCTGTAGATCACAATGGAAATTATAATTTATTTAAACTATAATGTGCAATTCCATGTGACAATAATCAATACTAGAAAACGACATAAAAGAAGGGTAGCAAAAGGAGTGGTTTTCTCCAGCTTAGCAGGAAATTAAAGGAATGTCCCTCTCCTTGTATAGGACAACTTCTTCAAGGACTTAAGACGATAGGCAGGGTGAAGGTGGAAGAGGAAAGGGCAGCACCGCTTGCCTGAATCTACTGGCTCATCTTACTGTAATGGAAAGTTTATAAGCCTTCCCCTATGCTTCATATAACACTGTGAGCAACATCCCACAGTATCAGAAAGTAACTGCTCTTTTGGGCCCTTCAGAAAATGTCATCTAGCTAAAAATGCATTCTTGTCATCTTCCCATCTGTAGAGTGCAAGTAATGAATTCGGTCCTCCTCTACACTTACCCCAAATATCCTCACTGGTAGACAATGTATGGGAGCATTGGGTACATCCACATTAGTGATCTAATGTGTAGAAGGGATTCTTTTTGGTGCAAGTTTGTCTTGTGTCTATACTTGTTGTCTTGCAGGACACACTGAAGTGTGTTAGCAGACTAACTTCCACTATTCAGGGAACACACTACCTCATCATTAGCTTAAAAAGAACAACTTCTACAATTAAATAGCTTTTTGCAGCATAGCATCATATTTTTGTAACAAAACCCACAAGGACGTACTAATATTTTTATCAATTAATATTCTGAGACTTTAAATTGTGAATTTTCCATTTCTCTTGCTTCTGAAAATGAAATAAAATTGAAAGATGTTAAATTACTTACACCCCCTCCAAAATAAAAATGCTTGCTTTGAAATCTAGTCACAAGCAGATTAACATCTTGTGATACAATCCCTTGTAGCAGGAGCAGCTGACAAGATGAGTAATGAACTGCATCCGATTATCTTTTCAGCTCTGTGGCAATCTTTTTCCAACAGCTTCCTATTCCATAACCAACAACACTGGAAAAAGGTCACCATTCTGTCATATTTCCCCCCCATCAGTGTATGTGTTTAGTAACGCAGAGAGCACACAAACCTTTGGAAGTTAAGAGGTCTGGTACTGTTATCTGGGGCAAAATGGTTTCAGGTCCACATTTTATATACAGAAATCCTACATAAAACATTCACACATGATCAAAAGTCTCTCAGAAGGAAATTATTACACTTTAGCACATAATAGAATGCTATTTCCTCTTTTCATGCAACATGTTCTTTCTTCAACAAAAGAACCTTAACTGTAATTGATGGTATCA